GGGAGAATCCTCCCCTTTAGTGAACTCGCCGATCGTGCGTCTGTCTTGGAAGTCGGTCTGCGGCTGACCGAGAATACTCGGCAGTGACCCAGAACTCTGGACCGCTGTACTGATGCTGCAGGTCGAGCGAGGAACGGAATCGTATTCGAAATTTTAGGTAGCGGATTTGCCAAAGAAAGCTCGGAGCGTTTTTGGCCACGATGTTAACAATCGCGCGGCTTATACACTCGCTTGTTGCTCCCGCTCGTATTGTTCCGGAGTCGTTCGGCGATCTCCGTTGGTTGAACAATGCGAGCGGGAGACGTTTGGTTCGGCGTGTCTCGTACGCGTTCGGCGTTTCTCGGCGAGACGGCTGCGACCTGTGAATTTTGCTTTCGCGTTTAAAAAAAATTTCGGGCACACCGCGCCCTCATCGCTCGCGAGTGACTAGAGGTCCCTCAGCGGCGGCATCCGGCGGGATGTTCTGCCGGGTATAATGCATTTATGGGGTGCATTGTTACATATGTATGTCCAGCGGCAGTTTCTGGGACTTTTTGCAAAATGTATTGGCAGATTCCAGGACCTTTGGCATTTTCCAGGACTGTTATTACGTCATTATTGGACAGAATTGTATTCCTGTCACATCCAAGCTTTCACCAAAAAAATATCACGAACATGATAGACACTCTATTAAATAACGGTTTTCCATTAGATTTTCTATCTATTTAATACAATAAGTAATAGAATCAAATCTTTAATTCACAAAAATGATTACAAGTATATACAAATCAAAATGAACCTATAGATATTAATATCAGAAAATTTTGTACTTTACTATATGTCAATAATTTAACTGAAAAATTTAAGAATGTATATAGGAAATACAACATGAATATTGCATATAAACCTACTAATAGCTTAATTAAATTTATTAAAACAGGGAAAGATAAATTAAATAAAATGGATAATAATCATGTGGTATACAAAATCAATCGTCGAGATTGTGAGTGTTTTTACGTAGGATAGACTAAAAGATAGCTTAAAACTAGAATAAAGGAACACAAAGCAGACATAAAAAAATTAAATAATCTCTCAGTAGTCTCATGTCATCGGCTTAATTTTAATCAGGAAATGGATTGGGAAAATATTGAAATTTTAGACTCTGAACCATCATTTTACAAAAGATCCATTTCTGAAACGATCCATATTAAAAAACAAGCTGAGGGGATAAATAATCAAAATGATACAGAAGAACTACCCGTTTCCTACTTACCGATAATACAAGTAATATCATAGTTTTAAAAATTACTTTGAAAATTATACTAGATGGCAACTGGTTACCTTCCCACTACCTTTTTTGTTTACCCTTTCCTATTTCACAATATTTTCCCCCTCTTTTGATGATAAAGACCTTCTATAGAACTTATAAAATAAAGAAATTACAATCTAAACTCGTTTGAAACCAATCTCTGATATTCTCTGATAGTAATAATTTGACAAGAAGTAATCTTCCATTGTGAATCATCAAACGGAAATTCAAGATATGGGTAATGTTATTAAAAAAAAGTTTTATTATTATTTTTATTTAAAAAATTTTGTATTTTTAATGAAGAATTAGCTCCATACTTGAAATTCAAAATTTATTACTGGATTTTTATTCTAGTTTGGAAACTTTATCTTATATGGTAATTTCAATGATATTATATCAAATTGACAAGCAATTATGCATTGGTGGATACTATCATTTAATTAAATTTGAACTATGGATTGAAATTTTAATTTGACTACAGGATACTATCATTCAATTAAATACGAACTATGGATTAAAATGTTAATTTCACTAGAGCATATTAAGTAATTGAACAATTACATTGTAACGTTAACCGACAAATTATTAGCGCACATAATTTAATATTTTAATGTTAATTTACGATTGTAATACTGAGGATGGCGATATTCAAGGCCGAAACGTCTATTTTTTGTTAATGATAGGGTTATTTTTCAATGTATATTACTTATGTCGATCTAATTAAATAATTTTGTAATTTTTTGTAAACTGTATCAAGAATATATATATTATTTTCACTAATAAGATCAAGTGTGTGGCGAATGCTCAATCTTTTTAATTGTTTACACGGAGAAAATTTTATATTAAGTTTTAATACAATGTTAAATTACATTTTACTATGTCTTGTATTTTTAGATGGACCCTCACAACGATATTCCGATGTAACATTTACTATGGTAATATTAATTTTATCACATATAAATGAAGTAATTTTTATTAAAGCAGTGCTTTTAAATCATGGAAAGAGTTAATTTTTACTATGGTAAAGCAATATTTGGTAGGTTTTTTTGCTTTTTTATTATCTTTACATTGCTAACTTTTATTCAACAAGGTTTGATTTTGTAATGAAAAAATTTATGAAAAAATTACTATGAAAAAGTGTAAAAATTACTTTATATTATTGCATTTAAACTTATAATTACACGATGGTCCGCAGTTACTACCACATTATAGTAATTTTAAATATAAAATTTTCTCCGTGTAGTTATAAAGCTCTGTGCACAACATTAGGTGCAGGAATAAATATCAAGGTTTCAACTTATATTAGAAACCGCAAATTCCGAAGTAACTGATACCTGATAAGTAGAAATTTTAGTATCTATTGCTGTTCCTAATACTTCTTATATTGTGTATAGGACTTAACATATCAATACTATAACTTCGTTGATATCGGGTCTTGTAAACGTAGTATAAATATGTACCATGAGCTTCAAGAACAAATCGAAGAAAGGTGTTACAACCTTTTGATGACCGGTTGTATGTACATTTCGATGACCAGACACGAAATCTTCCATAATATGTGCGTATGGCAGATTCCGAATCTGTACAACCCAATGTATATATATTTGAATGTACAGACCCGAAATCTGCAATAAAATATGCGAATGGCAGATAAGTGGTATACTACTAGGACTCCGGGTGAAGGACATAATTAACAAAAACATAACACCCCGTTAGCAAAACCTACAGGGTGGTCTTGCCAAAAATTTACCATTAGACATTCCATTATTCGTGTATATCTTAAGATATATGTGCGTATGAAATATTCCAAGATGTCCTGGAATCTGCTGTACGCATATATAAATATCTCCCTTCCGCTTTTTTGCTCTTTATTCAATGCTTTATAAAAAGTGTTACAGTGATCGGATTTAGTTCAAATATGCGCCGTTTTGTTCGATAATCTGTTTCCATCTAGACGGCAACTTCATAATACCCCCCTCGTAGAAGCCCCCCTCCTTACTTGCGAAGAACTCGGACAGCCACTTTTCACAATCCTGTATTGAGTTCAACTTTACACCACCAAGGGCGTTCGCCATGGACAAGAACAGGTGGTAATCACTTGGCGCTATATCCGGGCTATATGGTGGATGCGATAAAACCTCCCATCCGAGCTCCCGTAGCTTCTGACGAGTCATCAACGAAGTGTGTGGTCTGGCGTTGTCCTGGTGGAACACTACACCCCTCCTGTTGGCCAATTCTGGACGCTTCTGGTCGATCGCCTGCTTCAAGCGGTCCAGTTGTTCGCAGTAGATGGTAGAATTAAGCGTCTGGCCATATGGGAGCAGCTCATAGTGGATTATACCCTTCCAATCCCACCAAACACACAGCAAAACCTTCCTGGCCGTCAATCCCGGCTTGGCCACTGTTTGGGACGATTCACCGGCCTTCGACCACGACCGTTTTCGCTTGATATTGTCGTATGTGATCCATTTTTCGTCGCCAGTCACCATCCGCTTCAAAAATGGGTCGAGTTCGTTGCGTTTCAGCAGCATATCGCAGGCGTTGATTCGGTCCAGAAGGTTTTTTTGCGTCAAATCATGCGGCACCCAAACATCAAGCTTTTTTTTGTATCCAGCCTTCTGCAGATGGTTTAAAATGGTTTGGTGACTAACTCCCATCTCCCGGGCGATGTCACGAGATGCCACATGCCGGTCTAACTCGATGTTTTCTATGATTTCATCGGTATTCGTCGTCACAGGTCTTCCGCCGGCTGGCTTATCCATGGTTTCGTTTTCACCGGCTCTGAATCGTCGAAACCATTCCTCCGCGGTTCGAAGTGATAGAGTACCATTCCCCAAAACACCATTAATCTCACGGAACGTTTCTCTAGCGGATTTGCCTTTAACGAAGGAAAACTTTAAAATAGCGCGAATTTCGGCGTTAGTGAACTCCATGTTTACACGTCTATAACTGTTGAACGCAATATCCAAACTAATCATGCATAGCGTCGTTTTGTAGGTTATGTCAAGACCTTTGAAATGGTGTATAGTATTGCCAGATACGACCTCTGTAGCGCTTTGTACATAGCCGCGAAATTCAAAAGACAAAAAAAGCGGAAGGGAGATATTTGACAACCTTATATTATTCCAGACTTCGGGTATGTACAACGAAATGTACATTGAACCTGTCACAAAAAACTTGTAACACTTTTCCTTCGATGTATTTCGTAATTCCGATTGCTCACCGAGTAAATAGTTGTGTCCAGCAGACTCAACAATTTTGCAACCGTTTCATTATTCGTCTTGCTGATTAATTCAATCAGCGTGACGAATCATAAAACGGTTACAATATGCATCGAAGAAAGTATTACAACTGTTTGGTAATCAGTTGTACGTTCATTTCGATGTACAGACACGAAATTTTCCGTAATATGTGCGTATGGCAGGTTCCGAATCTGTACAATCCAATGTATATACGAGGGGGGACCCATAAGTTCCGGGAATTACGCTGTGGTGGGGAGGGAGAGTGGGGGAACCTATTGTTTGACCACATGTCCGTTAGTGTCACGCCATCTGCGTCAGTGTGCAAAGTTGTGTCGCTGTGAGTGCATCGGTTCGCCTGTGAGATTTTTTTTAGTAAAACAACTTTTTACATTTCGGCGAAAACGTAATGGCAGATTGTCGAGAACAACGCGCGGCTGTGAAATTTTGTTTCCTGTTGGGGAAATCGGCCGCGGAAACTATTGTAATGCTTAAGACTGCTTATGGGGATGCTGCCTTAAGTAAAACCAGAGTTTACGATTGGTTTTCACGTTTTAAAAATGGAGAAATGTCTATTGAAGACCAATTTCGTTCAGGACGCCCCTCAACGTCAAGAACTGATGAAAACGTCGACAAAATCAATGCCCTCGTTCGTGAAGACCGTCGCCGAACCATTGATCAACTCTGTGAGATGTCGGGAATGTCATGGAGTTCAATTCAGAGAATTTTATCCGAAGATTTGCACATGAGAAGGGTTGTAGCCAAATTCGTCCCGCGACTTCTCACAGACGAGCAAAGGGAGCGTCGACTTCAGGCATGTTTTGAGCTTCAAAATCAGCTCGAAGAGGACCCTGAATTTTTTTCCAAGGTGATTACTGGTGATGAATCGTGGTGCTATGGATACGACCCCGAAACAAAGCAGCAATCAAGCCAGTGGAAGACAGCTGGCTCTCCTCGTCCCAAAAAAGCTCGCCAAGTGAAGTCAAACATCAAGACAATGCTCATTTCTTTGATTGCAGAGGTGTTGTGCACGCGGAGTTCGTTCCCCCGGGTCAAACTGTCAACCAGAAGTTCTACTTGGAGGTTTTGAAAAGATTGAGGGAGAGTATCCGGAAGAAAAGGGCAGATCTTTGGCGCACAGGCGACTGGTTCTTCCATCATGACAACGCGCCGGCCCACACCGCCCTTTCCGTGAAGCAATTTTTGACCAAAAACGCCATGACACCAATTGTCCACCCCCCATACTCACCGGATCTAGCCCCCTGTGACTTCTTTTTGTTCCCCAGACTCAAAAGGAATATGAAAGGAAAGCGTTTTGCCACTGTGGAGGAGGTGAAACAAAAATCGCTGGAAGGCTTAAAGGACATCCCGATGAGTGAATTTAAAAACTGTTTTGAACAATGGAAGAATCGTTTGGAGAAGTGCGTTGTGGTCAATGGCGAATACTTTGAAGGTGATAAAAATTTGGTGTTAAAATATTGAGAAATAAAGAAGTTATGACGAAATTCCCGTTTTTTTTTTGGGTCCCCCCTCGTACATTTGAATGTACAGACCCGAAATCTACTATAAAATGTGTATGGTAGATAAGTGGTACACTAAATCTCCGGGTGAAGGACCCCATTAAAAAACTTAACACGCCGTTAGCAGATCCTCCAGGATAGTGTAAATATTTGCGATTAGGCATTTCATTATCCGTGTATATCTCAAGATATAAATGCTTATAGAAAATTCCAAGATGTCCTGGAATCTGCCATACGCATATGTTATAGCAGATTTCGGGTGTGTACATCGAAATATACCTACAACTTGTCACTAAAAAGTTGTGACACTTTTCCTTCGATCTATTTTTAATTTCGATTGCTCACCGAATATATAGTCGTGTCCAGCAGACCCAACAGTTCTGCAACCGTTTAATTATTCGTCTTGCTAATTAATCTAATCAGTGTGACGAATCATAAAACAGTTGCAATATGTATCGAAGAAAGTGTTACAACCTTCTGGTAACCAGTTGTGTGTACATTTGGATGTACGGGTACGAAATCTACCATAATATATGCGTATGGCAGATTCCGAATCTGTACAACCCAATGTATACATATATATTTGAATGTACAGATCCGAAATCTGCAATAAAATATGCGAATGGCAAATAAGTGGTATACTACTAGGACTCCGGGTGAAGGACATAATTAACAAAAACATAACACCCCGTTAGTAAAACCTACAGGATGGTCTTGCCAAAAATTTGCCATTAGACATTCCATGATTCATGTATATCTTAAGATATATGTTTGCTGTCTCGGAAGCTGCCGTTCTGATCAGTGTCCTGGAAAGTGTGTAGTCCCGGAATCTGCCATTTCGTGAATGTCCTGAAAAATGTACTGTCCCGGAACCTGCCATTTCGTGAATGTCCTGGAGAAATATGTTGTCCCGGATCCTGCCATTTAGTCAATTCTTCTGTATATATTTGTTGTCCCGGAACATGCCATTCCGTGAATGTCCTGGAAAAATATATTGTCCCAGAACCTGTCAGTCTGTGAATGTCCTGGAAACATGTGTTGTCCCGGAACCTGCCAATCTGTCAATGTGCTGGAAGAATATGTGCCCTGGAATCTGTCAATATGTGAGTGTCCTGGAAACTGCCAAATTCGTTTTTTTTTCGAAAACGATTAAAAATAAATTAATTTTATTTGAAAGGCAGAAAACAACAAAAGAGGCTTTATAAAACTGTTTTTAACTAATTCTATTTTCGGTCCCGGAAGCTGCCCCAGGACACACATACATATATATATATATATATAAATATATATAAAAATATATATATATAAATATACATACATAATTATTATAGTATTATATTATATATAAAATATACATACATAAATACACACATAAATATACCTATAAATAAATAATAATAAATAAAACAAATATACTGATTACTTCATTGTCAGAATTATTTGTTTCCTTCATTCCTTCCTTCGTTCCTTTCTTATTCGCGTTATACCGCGCTCTTATTAAATAGAATAAGAAACTATGTTCTATTAGAGTATATTTAAAAAAAATTAGAGTATATTTAAAAAAAATACTTCATTTAATGCTATAAATCATACGTTATATGAATATCTTTGCGTGTGAGAAGCTGCGTTGGAAAAAGATGCACAACAGCGAGAGAGAGACGGTAAGTATAAATGGTAAGTATAGCGCGCGATGGGGACAGGAGGCGGGGACCGCGCCTGGGACCGGCGACAGCAAATAAATAAATATACATATAAATTACTCCGTTGTCCGCGATTATTTGTTTCCTTCTTATTCACGCGGTATCGTATTACGCGCGCTCTTATTATAAATAAAATAAGGAACTATGTTCTGTTAGGGTATACTTTAGAAAAAAATATTTCATTTACTATTGCTATAAACCATACATATTATATAAATATATATATAAATCTTTGCGTGCGAAAAGAAGATAAAGCTGCGTTGGAAAAAGATGTATAACAGCGAGAGAGATGATAAGTATATATGGTAAGTATAGCGCGCGATGGGGACAGGAGGCGAGGACCGCGCCCGGGACCGGCGCGTGACGGCTGCAGCGGCTCGCGCGCGATGGCGGCTGCGTCCGGCGGATACTGACCCCGCGTTATCCGATAACGCGCCGCGGTGACGGTATACCACGCCTCCGCGGGCGCCGTAATTCTCTCCTCTCCCCGCGCGAATTTCCCGCGACGTTATCC